GGAGAGGCCAAAGGGTAGGCAGGTAAACCGCCAGGTCTCGTGCCGCCAGTGAAAGCGTAGGAGGTCTCGAGATGCCACTGCTATCGGCACTGTCAGGTACGCGTCCTTGAGGTCTAGCTTCGCTAGCCAATCTCCGTGGAGGAGGAGATCTCTTAGTAAGTGAATACCCTCCATTTTGAAATGGCGGTACCTGACTATGGCATTGAGGGGGCGCAGATTTATGACAGGTCTCAATTGACCGTCTTTCTTTTCCACCAGGAAGATGTTGCTTATGACACCTGCGGGGTTGGGAGGTGCTCGTTCTATAGCCCCTTTGATAAGGAGGGTGGAGAGTTCCTCGTCGATCCGTCTGCGATCCTGGAGGGAAAAGCAGATCGGTCGAGGAGGGGGAATGTGTATCAGATGGTTTATGAATTCTATATGGAAACCCCGAATAGTGGTCAGCACCCAGGGGTCTGATGTTATTTGTGACCAGGCTGGGAAAAAATGTTGGAGTCTGCCCCCTACACAACCCAGAGAAGAAGTATGAGGTATGAGGTAACTCACCGTATGGTCGTCTTGAACTTGGGTTGCCCCGAAAGCCTCTGGATCGCCATGGACGTCCGTGAGATGGGAAGAATGTGGGGCGGGAGTTAGAATCCGGGTACTGCGTATGGTGTTGGAAGGAGCCTCTTCCTGTGCCACGGGATTGGGGGTAACTGCGGCCGGCCAGACGGCTCCAGAATCAGCCAGCCCTGGTAGAGACCTGCCCCTGGAACACCCACCTCATAGAGGCTTGGGCCTTGTCTAGGGCTGTGAACGCTCCAACAAAGCGCCCTAAATCTTTTATAAAGGAGTCTCCGAAGAGTAAGCCTTGGGCGTCCTTACCCGCCTCAGTGAGGTTGGCCAGCTTAGGCTCTATTTTAAATAATATGGCCTTACGCCTTTCTATAGATAGGGAGGTATTCACACTCCCAGCAATACATATTGCTCTCTGGACCCAACCACGTAGGTCTTCGGGGTCAACCATGCGGTTCTCCGCTCTGGCGTCTTCCGCCAAGTCAAATAATTTGGCCAAAAGGCCGAATATGTCCAGGTGTTTGTCCTGGCAGGACTTTAATGCAGATTCCAGTCCTTTACGGGGGTTCCAACCCAATTTAGTGAGGAACTGAGTCATCTTGGGGTCTACCTCCGGAGTGTCGCAGACTTTATTAGGCACCACAGGCCTAGGACACTCTGCCCTCAATTTGTTGCGGGCTGCTTTACTCAAGGGTCGTCTGACCCAATTTTCCAAATATGTGGCAACGTGGTCAGCCGGGTGCCACTCTGCCGATCTCGGATGGTTTAGGTCATCCGGGTTGAAGAGTGTGACACCCGACGGATCCACAAGGGTGGACCCCGCGGCCGCGGGGTTCCTGATCCCTGTCTCGCCCCCGGGCATCTCTGCCTGAGCAGAGGAAAGGAGGTCAAAGCCAGTATCAGCGGCATCCGCATCAGAGTCACTGTCCGACTCGCTCTTAGCCTCCTCATTTGACCCGATTTCTGAGTCGGAGTCGCTCTCTAGCTATGCTCTGGCACATTTCCATAGCCGCGCCCGTTCTGCCTGGCGCGGAAAGGCTCTTTTGCATGGATGAGACACGCTTTCTGGGGCGACCGAAGGTACGCCAGTCATGGTGTTTCTGGAGGCAGAGGGGTGTTTGGACTTATGGGTAGCCAGATCAGGTGAACAAGGAGGCCATGTCATTAGATTTTCTTCTTTTATACCCTTTCTTGCCAGCCACGCTGTGGAGTACTTGGACGCGTGTGATGGAGCATTGTCCTGCATGAAAATCATGTTTTTCTTGAAGGATGCAGACTTCTTCCCGTACCACTGCTTGAAGAAGGTGTCTTCCAGGAACTGGCAGTAGGACTGGGAGTTGAGCTTGACTCCATCCTCAACCCGAAAAGGCCCCACAAGCTCATCTTTGATGATACTAGCCCAAACCAGTACTCCACCTCCACCTTGCTGGTGTCTGAGTCGGACTGGAGCTCTCTGCCCTTTACCAATCCAGCCATCTGGCCCATCAAGACTCACTCTCATTTCATCAGTCCATAAAACCTTAGAAAAATCAGTCTTGAGATATTTCTTGGCCCAGTCTTGACGTTTCAGCTTGTGTGTCTTGTTCAGTGGTGGTCGTCTTTCAGCCTTTCTTACCTTGGCCATGTCTCTGAGTATTGCACACCTTGTGCTTTGGGCACTCCAGTGATGTTGCAGCTCTGAAATATGGCCAAACTGGTGGCAAGTGGCATCGTGGCAGCTGCACGCTTGACTTTTCTCAGTTCATGGGCAGTTATTTTGCGCCTTGGTTTTTCCACACGCTTCTTGCGACCCTGTTGACTATTTTGAATGAAACGCTTGATTGTTCGATGATCACGCTTCAGACGCTTTGCAATTTTAAGAGTGCTGCATCCCTCTGCAAGATATCTCACTATTTTTGACTTTTCTGAGCCTGTCAAGTCCTTCTTTGACCCATTTTGCCAAAGGAAAGGAAGTTGCCTAATAATTATGCACACCTGATATAGGGTGTTGATGTCATTAGACCACACCCCTTCTCATTACAGAGATGCACATCACCTAATATGCTTAATTGGCAGTAGGCTTTCGAGCCTATACAGCTTGGAGTAAGACAACATGCATAAAGCGGATGATGTGGTCAAAATACTAATTTGCCTAATAATTCTGCACTCCCTGTATATCTCTCCCTGAGGGTTCACAGTGGGACGCGGTAAAGGCGTCGAGGAGCCCAAGAATTGCTCGTCCGAAGGACGTGGCAAGAGGGCCTGTGAAATGGTGTGGGAGAGGGTGGAGGACATAGACCCCATGGCCGCCATAATGGCGTCTGTCACTGAGCGCTGCAGCGCTAGGAACTGTGCCCCATCAGGGTGGGTAGTTCCATCTGTCATAATGGGCGAATTGCCTGAGGTGACAGGGGCCTCACTCCTAATGAGTGGGGTATCAGACTCCCCAGAGGGAGTGGACCCAGAGGATAGTCTGGGTTTAGGCATGTTAAACTAGCAGAGAGTATAACCTAACAATAGCAATAGACAAAAACTAAAACGCTCTCACCAGGGCCCAGACCAGTGGCACACTAAGATGCAGGGTAGGAAAGAAGACAGGAAGTCTGAAAATGGGCGCCGGTAATCTCGCGGGATTCGCGGCATCCGCGAGATTCGCGGCAAAAAAGCGAACGTTCGGTATAAAAAAGGTGAATTCGGGAACCAGATAGGTAAGTATAGGAGAATATAGAGTAGGCGAACGGGCCGTTCGCATGAAAAATTTCGAATGCGGCAAACATGCGAATGCGCTGTCTGCCGAATGGGGAATGGTATGTATGTGCGGTGAATCAGCCGAATAAGTTTAATTCGCGCGCATACACAGCCGGATAGGGGAGAAAGAACGTGCGCAAAATGGCGCCGAGGGCAGGGAGGATGGAAAAGGAGAATAGAATACAGTAGGGGAGGTCTGGACCCTGGGTAAGTGAGAAACAAACAGTGCAAAGAAAAGCAATGCAGGATAAAGACATCCAAGTACAATAAAAACAATATAATACTAGATAGGAAGTTAAATAGAAATAAATAAATAAATAGTTGAAATGAAATAAATACAAATAAGTAAGTAAATAAATGTAAAACAAATATGACAATAATACAGAATGCTATCAGTTACTGGTAAGCAACTGTATGATAAAATTAATGAGAAAAAAAACAGTACAATAGAAAAATATGAAGAGAAGAAAGTGACATGTACTTATCTTTGTGTCGGAGCAGCAAAGAAAGAGGGAAATGGAAGGGAAGTGCTGCCTATTATACTGGGACCTGAGCGGGGAGGGGCCTATGTTACTGCATGTTCATTATTTTTCATTCTGTATGTATTCTTTGCTGCTATTGGTGGACAGTAAATAAAGGGATATGCAATATGAGCCTCTGTGTCTTGTTATAAAATCAAAGGTATTGCAAATGGGGTATGTCCATTTTTTTTTAGTAGCCACTAAAAGTAGGTCACAAACACAGGCCAAAGTTAGTGTTAAAATGCAACAAACTAATTTGAATGCCAATTTTGGCCAGTGTTTGTGACTAAGGGGGAGGAGGGCATAATTATAATGGCATCCATGTTTGGTCCCTTTTTGACAGTGTCGGCTGGCACCGGTATTGCAGTGTATTATCAATCGCTAAAGAAAAATACCGGTACAGACTGAAAAATCCAGTGAGGGGCGCCAAGTGCCCCCTCTTGCCCAAGTGCCCCCCCCTTTTTTACATTTTACAGACAGCAGGGGAAGTACCTGTCATTCCAGGCACTCCCCCTGCTGGCACTGCTGTGGACAGCTATGCCGTCCATGTGATCGTGAGGTCCTCGCAAGGATCTTGCGATCACGTGGCCCAGGAGGGCCAGAACGGCAGAACTGGGACTCCTTGGGGTGCCAGGTGAGTCCCCCCACCGCGATTGCCGGCGAGCGGGTAATCAAATAGGATGGCGGGGACATGCTATGCCGGCCGCCGCTGTTTAGAGGCAAAATACATCACTTCTTGTGTAGCCAAATATCCACGCCCCAGCTCTGAATGCAGGCAGTCAATTTCCTGTACTGCCCATCAACATGAAAAAAAAATGTTCTAGAAAACTTGATGAGCCGGGCTGCAGTATTTTCAATTTAAACTAAAAGCAATAGCTATTAAAAGTGCCACTTATAAATAATAAGTTGCTCTAAACTTTTCTTTCTTTATGTTTGGTAAATCTACTTTTTTTATTTAAATTAGTTTTAATGCACTGCAGTCAATTCGTGCCCAATTGTTCCATTTACTGAAGGTGGTTAGAACTGGCATTTAAGCGAGCAACTGGGAAAGTGAACGCTCAAGCAATATCCCAGATATGTTTTATAATTAAAATAGAGACCCTTTGGGAAACATGAGCGGGTCTTTTGTACACCTCAGCAGTACCCAGCCCCCATAAACTGTAGTAGAGAATATGACCTATCACACTGCCTGTCTGTAGCAAGGCTGGATGCACAGAGGGAGCTGCACTCAGTGTATGCGTGGCACTCTCCCCAGCCTGTTGCAGGAGTGGCCAGGCTGGGTGTGATCACAAGGGGGGGATGCTTTACATTTTGCACAACCCACAAACTGAGTGAGTTTCTTTGGAACGTCTAACTAAGCCCATTCAGCTACACTGTAGCACTTACTATTGGCTAGACTTTGCAGGAAGGCTCTGCAGGGATACTAGTGTTTGCAAGTCCAGCTCAGTACTTGCAGTCTGCACTCACAGCCCTGGCTCATCAGCATCATGTCTAACCCAAGACACAGGAACAAGAGCAACTCTGCAGACAACAGCTCCCAGACAGCGGCAAATGACGTGGCAAAGAAGAGCAATAAATCCAGCAAAGGGTCTTCATCATCATCATCCTCCTCTTCAGGCGCTGCATCTGGTGTATTTAAGAAACTTTTTACCTTTGTGCTTTATGCAGGTTTGATAGCAGTGTCTGCCTGCACTGGCTGGTTTGTGTATAATCTCTTGGAGGAAGTCTCCCAAATTAACAGCAAACTCGGCCACCTATCCTTGCAGAAAGGTGAACTGGCTGAAACCGTCAACACTCTCCAAAAACAGGTAAATGCTGACATTTTCACCCCCTTTCAATTTCCCTGAATACCTGTGTTTACTGGTGACCAAGTAGTTTGAACCATATGTAAAATGAATTATTACAATTACATATGAAACTTCAATGGAATAACTAATCTGTGGGTGTTAGAGCTACTATAATATATTATAGTTGCCATAATGATGTGTTATTATTATTTTATTATTTATATAGCGTCATCACGTTCTGTAGCGCTGTACAATGGGATTATACTATATAGAGCTTTTAGTATAATAAATTGGGCAATTCCGTTGTTTATTGCGTCAAATTAGCAAAACGTTCTAATTGATTGCAGAATTTGAGGTGAACAAGAGAATATATATATATATATAGTATATTCCACAGATGCTTCTAAAGTTCCCAAAATTAACCCTCTGGGCTGCTACACGAAATTGTGAATTATGGGAAATTAGCGAGAAAATTCACAATTTAAGGCCATAATAAGTGAGTTGGGAACGCTGGGAGCTTTTTTTTTCTCCAATTTTTATCTTTTGACATAAATTTCCCAGTTCCATTATCAATTCTCCACAATTCCCATTTTATTAAATACACTCATGTGAGGGATAATCACTAAAAGCATGACTTTTTGGGAATTCATCGTGATTTTTAATTAAAAATTTTAGCAAGTAAGGTTTTTTTTGTTTTTTTTTAGGTTGACTATTTCTGCCTAAAATTTAAAATTCACTTTTTAAATTTGTAACCGTTCACCACTTAGTGAATAGCCTTCATAGTGTTGTCAGTGTTTTATTTTCTGTTTGAAAATATACTGGTGAGAAATGCATTTTGACCACATTTCAGTGTAAAGGTCAGAACCTTCAAATTAATGTATGCTTGGAGACATACAATGTCTACTAGCAGGACATTTGACTGGGTAACACCTGTTGGAGAAGGAAGTATGTACTATATATACCAAAGTGTCTTTACATATTTAACCCATTGGAGGGGAAGGTATGTGTAATAGTAGAACGTAACCTTTAAAATGCCAGTGTGGCAAGTAAGGGATTACTTTTCTTGTCCCACTAACATTTTAGATTGTTCATTCATTGTAAATGTATATATTTTACGTTTTACATTTAGTTGAGTTATTCACTAACGTGTCAATTGTTACAAATTCAAAGTGAAAATCATATTTTAGGCTAAAATAACCAAACTGCAAACATAGCTTTTTTTTTTTTTTTTTTGTGTAGCTGCTTAAGCCTTAAATGTGAAATTCACATTGTATTATTGTCAGTTTACACTTTTGGTGAATAGCCATGCCTGCTTTTGGTTCTGCTATTTAGGAATCACATTTAAATTTAAAGGGACATTATTGTCACTTAATATAGTTGTTCTCGTGTTCACTGATTGTCCCTGAAGGCTTTTTAATTTAAACACTGCCTTTTCAGAGAAAAAGCCATGTTTACACTACTGCCTATGAACGCCTCTAGCGGCAGTCACTAGAGGTGCTTCCTGGGACAATGCTGCAAATGTTCAGCATCTCCACACTGCCCTGGAGACTCGGGAAGTTCCTCATAGAGATGCATTAAAGGAGTACTATAGTGCCAGGAAAACAAACTCGTTTTCCTGGCACTATAGTGTTAATAGGTCACCCTCATGGCCCCCCTCCCGCCGGGCTGAAGGGGGAGGAAGGGGTGAATCGCTTACTTTTATCCAACACCGGGCTCCTTTGGCGCTGGGGAAATCTCCTCCCTCTTCCGACATTAGCGCTAAAGGCGCATGTGCGGCAAGAGCCGCGTGCGCATTCAATCAGTCCATAGGAAAGCATCTCTCAAGGAGACAGCCACTAGAGGCTGGATTAACCGTAATGTAAACATAGCAGTTTCTCTGAAACTATGTTTACAGCAGGCAGGGTTAACCCTAGAGGGACTTGGCACGCAGACCACTTCATTGAGCTGAAGTGGTATGATTGCCTATAGTGTTCCTTTAATTAAATTAATCTCTAATAGGGGATGCTGATTGGTGCAGCACAGTGTTTTGCCACACATGTGCAATAGCCTCACAATGCTTTCCTATGGGAAATAATTGATTTTTAACAGAGGGTAAGGGGGGGCTGTCACCTAAATAGCTAAGTCAAACCTATAGTGTCAGCAATTTGCATTTGTATTACTGACAGTGTCCCTTTAACTTTCTTTTGAATTATATATTTTTTTTGAGAGGGTAGTGGTTTATACACTAAAGCATGGGTCCTCAAACTCCGGCCCCCCAGATGTTGCTGAACTACAACTCCCATGATTCTTTGAATTACATAGCCAGAGAATCACGGAAGTTGTAGTTCAGCAACATTTTGGGGGCCGGAGTTTGAGGACCCATGCACTAAACAATACATTAGCTGATGCTCTAAGCCAAGCTTCCCCAAACTCCAGCCCTTCAGATTTTACTGAACTACAACTCCCATGATTCTATGAATGAAATAGGCTGATAATCATGGGTGTTGAAGTTCAGCAACATCTGGGGGGCCGGAATTTGGGGAAGCCAGCTCCAAGCCAATCCGTAGCTTGCTTTCATAAAAAGGGTAAGTACTATATATATTCTCTAAGCCAATAAGCTGAAGCCTTGCCTGGCAGCAGGCCGTGCTTCCTGGATCTAAATTAGAGAAAGTGGATGTTGAGAGGATGGCTAGAGGGAGGATTGGCGTTGGAGAGCCAACTTAGGGGTTAAACCTTTTTGTGGACAGTTAAACTTCCAAAGGTAAGGAAGCACCTGGGCGCTCCGTAGCAATTTAATAGCAGAACTACAACTCACTTGGTGCTTTGCCTGCCTTACATCTAGTAAAACAACATGCAAGTTGTGTTTCTGCAATATTTGGGCATTTACCATTTGGCCACTCCTAGCTTACAACATATAGATACAATAAAGCTTGTAAGGAAATAAAACCCTAGTAATTCACGCTCTTCATATTTAATATTCATCAAAAACTTTTCTGTGTAAGCAAATTGGGAACTGCATCCTCTAGATATGTCAGTTCTAAGATTTCACACTCGTTGATCCGGAAAGGCTTGTGAACACACCACAAAGACCTTGTAATTACAGGCACTCTGTCATGCATAGTATAATTGAGTTTTGTTTTAAAGTGACACAATAAACCCCAAGTACATTGATTTACTGAAGTACTTTTTGTGTGAAGTGTGTTTTATTCGCTTTTTTTTTTTTATTTTACAAAAAGTTCAGATTCCAATTGTAATTGGCACCATTATAAATTAACCTTGTTTTGTTAAACTCCTCAACCTCCTCGACTGTCAATCAGACAACTGGTCCTATTCCTGGTTTGATTAGCTCAGTGGAGATAACTGGTGGCAAGGAGGAGTTATTCTCTAAATAGTGAATTGACTATGAGTTGGCAAAGTTTAGGGCAAAAACCCATGTTGGGGGAAAAATACCACAGTTCTGGAATTTTGGCCCAAGGTGTGTTTAAATAATGACCCACACTTAAAGGACTGTCCTTGGGAGTGGTGAAGTATATTTAGAGGGACACTCCAGGCACCCAGACCACTTTTGCCCATTGGAGTGGTCTGGGTGCCAACTCCCACTACTCTTAACCCTGCAAGTGTAATTATTGCAGTTTTTTTATAAACTGCAATAATTACCTTGCAGGGTTAACTCCACCTCTAGTGGCTGTCTACTAGACAGCCACTAGAGGGCACTTCCTGGCTTCTAGCACAGGAAATCTGTGCTAGAGCGTCGCTGGACGTCCTCACACTATGTGAGGACCTCCAGCGTCGCTCATTTCTCCATAGGAAAGCATTGAAATGTATTTTCAATGCTTTCCTATGGGGAGCGCGCATGCGCGGCATTGCTGCGCATTAGGTCTCCCCGGCCGGTGGGCGGGATCAGTCTCGCTCACCGGCCAATGCAATGCGGAGGAGTGGCGGCGGAGGAAGCAGCAACGTGGAACATCGTCGCTGCTTCAGGTAAGTGACTGAAGGGGTTTTTACCCCTTCAGCAACCTGGGATTGGGGGGTGGGAGGGAGAGGGAACCTGCAGTGCCAGGAAAAGGGATTGTTTTCCTGGCACTGGAGTTTCCTTTTAAGTGGTGACTAGTTGAGGAATACAAACATTCTTTTAAAACACAGTATATCACATCCTGACTCTTTCTTCTTCTTTTTTTTTTTTTCACCAATTTTTTTTTTTTTTTTAATATGGTCAGCCAGAACATATTCTCGCAATGGCTATTGGAATAATATAATAATTTTTTAACACTCACAAACGCTTCTTAATGTCACTAGGGATGCACCGAAATGAAAATTCCGGGCCGAAACTGAAAAGTCAGGATGCCCTTGGCAGAAAATGACTTTTTCCCCTAAATGATTTTTAAAAAGTTTTTTTTTCCCTATAATTTTATTAATATTAGACTTTTTAAAATGAATTTAATCTAATATGAAAAACTTCCCTTCTCATTTAGTGGTCCCCCTGCCTAATGTTCCTCTCTCCCCCTCTAGTGTTCTTTCTTCCCTCCTCCCCAGTTCCATAGTGTCCCCCTCCCCTGTCCCATAGTGTTCTTTCCCTCCCATGTCCCAAGTGCAGTATTCTTGACTTTTCATGTTATCATTACTATCTTTCATTGTGATATATAATCCTCTGAATTGTTAATGCAAGCATGTCTGTTAAACTATGCACTACAAAAAACAAAATATAAAAAAAAGTTAAATTTTTTTTTTTTTTTTTTTTTTACATTTCGGCAAATTTGACCCGTTTTCGTCCAAAAATTTCGGCAGCCAAAATTTAGTTGTATCCCTAAATGTCACTCGCATGATACTGGAATGTCCATGGTGCAATCATTTAAAATCTAGTAATGTCATTTCCAAGTAGCCAAGCTATAGCTCACAATTAAAAACAGCCAGTTTCCAAAGAGATGGAGGTGACAACCTTTGAATAGCACACTATTTTCTAACCCTCAATGACATTCAGGATTATTAACTAAAGTGAGAATTCTAAGTGAATTTAAAATTTTAAAGCCATAGTAGCCTATGTGGAAGTATATCTGACTTGTAGAATGTTTCTAGTTTGGCTATTTTTTTGCCTTAAATTTGAAATCCACTTTAAATATTATTATTTTTTTTTTAAAACAATACAGCTATGAACATGCGCTGTTAGCAGCCAATCCCAAAATGAAAGAACAAACATGAAAATATTGATTCAATGCAGCGTTTCTGCTAAAAAAGCCAGAGAAAATCAAATGTTAACTATTTTATTGACCTTTTTATAAAAACTGCTGAACCTATAAGTAGTTTTTTATGGTGCTATATCAGGCTTCATAGACTTTTATGAAAGTGCTACATAAACAGTTGCTTGGGGCACCACTGACTTCCAATAGACTGCTCAACATTCTCTCTCAACATTGTGATATGGACAGTTTGTGGCCTGTAATCACAGGCTGATAATCAACTCCTCACTACCAGCTGAGCTGACATGCAGAGTGCAATCTACAAAGTAAAGATATGCAAAGACTATAGTTCAGCAAATACTATGATATCATGATGGTCTTGCCTGTCAGCAGTCACGAAAGGGTTAATAATTATATTTACGGTAGAATTTTTTCCAGCGTTGATATGGGACATGGATCCATAATGGCTTCATGGAAAGTAGGACACTCAGTAGTCATGCAGTGGCCTACATTATAAACCTTTTGTTGTTCTGTAGCAGAGAGATGGCAAGCTGAACACCGCTTTCCTCTTTAGACATAAAACTATTTTTGGCCTGTGCATTGGATAGCCAAAATAACTACCAGGTATTTAATACTTTGAATTCTAGAGGGGTGACATACACTGCTTTCTCTCCTACTCCTCCTCCATTCAATGGAATTAGAGCAGGCGAAGAACAGACTAGAATTAAAACAAATGTTACATGTCACTAATACTGTAAAGGATTCTTTATTTTGTAAATGGCATTGAAAACCAGTTAATCTATCACTTCTTCTAGCAACCTCCTGCCCAATAATTTCTCCATACTTTAATTGCTAAAGGGCCACTAGAGACACCCAGTGTACTTCAATAAGTGGACTGGGTGCAATTGTCCTGTCCTTTTAACCCTGCAAAGTAATGCATTGCAGTTTTTTTTAAATTGCAGGGTTAAAGGGAACATGTCATGTCCGTATTGACTTTAACTCTTAAAACAGCTTAGAATTTCATCTATAAATTGTGCTAACCGCTAGTGATGTCCCGAACGGTTCGCCGCGAACAGTTCACCACAGACTCATCATTGAGTAAACTTTGACCCTGTACCTCACAGTCAGCAGACACATTCCAGCCAATCAGCAGCAGACCCTCCCTCCCAGACCCTCCCACCTCCTGGACAGCATCAATTTTACATTCATTGTGAAGCTGCATTCTTAGTGAGCTGTCCAGGAGGTGGGAGGGTCTAGGAGGGAGGGTCTGCTGCTGATTGGCTGGAATGTGCCTGCTGACTGTGAGGTACAGGGTCAAAGTTTACTCAATGATGAGTCCGCGGCGAACCGTTCGGGACATCACTACTAACCGCTTTTATACATTTGGAGAAGAACCTACCTATCCCTCAATGCTGAGGAATTGAGAGACAGGGAAAGCAGAGGATGTGCTTCCTAGCTGTCCCTGATAGTGCTGGCTAGGGAGGATAGGAACAGACTATCCACCTCATTAATGAGATTGGGACAGGGGAGCAGAGGGCCAGGTAAGGCATGACAGTTTCCCTTTAAATTGACAACCACTAAAGGCGATTCCTCAGCTCTGACAGAGTAAAACTTGGTCACGTGACATGGAAGCCCCAAAAGCATAGCATTGATTCAATGCATTCCTATGGGGAAGCTTAGATTTGTGCATAGCATTCTCCGAGAATGCACATCAGGTCCCCAATGCTTTATGAGGGCCATTGGATTGGACCGACGATGGAAGACACCATGCCTACTCCTTAACTTCGTGGAAAGAGGCAAGCGTAAGCAGCACCAATGTAAGTAAAAGCCTTTATTTTTAGCCTTTTATCACATGCAGCAGGGACCTATATAACTATGGACAAGGACACTAAAGCGTTACAAATACAGGATTGTATTCCTAATGCGTTAGTGTGTCTTGAAGGAAATTATTTTTTTTTTGTGCCTATGTGCACATACAATGTCCCTCTAAATTCTATCAATGTATAAGAATTATTTATACACATTCATATTGCAGACCTCTTTAATTTACATTTTATTTTGATTTTGTGCTGTTTGTGGCTACTTTGACATATTCCTTGAAAAATAATATATAATTAGTAATCTATAAATAGACTATGTCCAATCAGCTTGTTAGGATTTAAAATCAATTCCACACAGCAATTAGCTAATTCTATGTATCTAAAAATACCTTCGTCACAGCACGTAATTAATTAAATGCCTTATAGCCTAAGCTGCTAATAGATATTTCAGCTGTTTTGGTTTTGTTTGTTTAAAAAAAAACCAAAAAAAAACTTGGAATACCACTTGTTTATTTGACATAACCATTCAAGAACTGGGGAGCTCACTCTGGCACACAAAAAGTTAAAAGCGGCAATGTTCTACAGATGATATCATGCCAAATGGTCTGGTTTGGCGCTAAGAGTTGACAGTCATCCTATTGGTTACCATGGTGATTACAACTTCACCTCAGAATAGAACGTGTTTTTGCCTCGATAAATATGGCTAGATTGCTTAAAGGGACACTTTAAGCAACAAAACAACTTAGCATAAATAGCATTTTTTTTTTTTTTCTTTTGGAATGTAGATTCCCTTCTGTTTAACCCCTTATTTATTCAGGTTTTTTTTAAAGCCAAGTTGAATAAAGATTACTTACCTCATTTCTGTCACGGCTAAACGATACAACAGTAAGGACGTATTAACAGACCTTAGCATGGCCGGTTTAATGTACAAAAAGCGTAAACGTGTTTCTAGCCAAGATTGAGATGCCAGAAATATGGGAATAAGATATAACTAGCCAGGCCAGGATTACAGAGGTCAATAAATAAGCCAAAATCAAATAACCAGAATATCTGAGAAGATATAAAGCACTTTACGAGGAACGAAGAGAGTGTGCAAAGACTATGGGGCTGGAAACTTTATTTAAGCACTGAGGTAGTCCACGTCACTACTGCAACTCCAAAAAGAGCAGGAGCGTGGTTGCACTGAGGACGTGTCCCGTCTAGAACCGGAAATTATGCTAGGCATTTTATTAGTATAAGTAGAGTGGTCCTGCGAACGCGCAGCGTTACTCTCCTTGCCAATAACACTCTCCTCCCAATGTGCACTTGGTTGGGGAGTCAGAATGCAATCGCCAATCGGGAAGGCAGATGAGGACCATAATGTGCAGTGTGACACCATTATGTGTCCCTCCGGCACAGTCCAGCCTGTTGTTGTTCAGCCAACTGGGTTTGAACCTCAGCTTTGTGGGACCGCTGGAGTTTGAGATAAGTAGAGGGCAATGCAGAGGCATGTGTAATGGTTATTCCTAGATGGTCGGAAGCTCACCACCGCTGTACTAGTAGAAGAAGGGAGGGGGGGAGGAAACAACTGCCCACATACAAAATAAATAAATCACTGTTTAGTAATCACCTACAGCCCGATTACGAGTAAATGGTCAGCTGTCCCACCCAGTAACTATCACAAACGGCACGAGACAGGGTTGCCCGTTATCATCCCTCCTGTTCATACTAGTCCTTGAACCATTCCTACAGGGGATAAGAGACCATCAACAAATCAAAGGCTTCATAATAGATAAAACGGAATATAAGGTCACTCTGGCAATTGCTGCCTCTTGAGTTTAGTGCAAATAAGCTAACCAAACCAGGAAGTAATAGGATCTGTTGTTTGCTTGAAAAGCCAGGTATGTGCAACCAATATACTTTCTATTGAAATCTGCACTATTTTCAAAGTGATAAAAGAGGACACACTTGTCACATAAAGCAAGTTACAGAACTTTAGGGGTCTGTAGTGTCCCTTTAATGTAATAAATAGGTACATAATGTTTTATTTTGGATTTTTCCCATGCATAAAGTCTAGGTATACTTAAAGGACCACTATAGTGCCAGGAAGTGTCAGTGAGACAGCCACTAGAGGCCGGATTAACCCTAGTGTAAACCTACCAGTTTCTCTGAAACTGCTCCTGTTTACAGCTGCAGGGTTAACCCTAGATGGACCTGGCACCCAGACCACTTCATTGAGCTGAAGGGGTCTGGGTGCCTATAGTGGTCCTTTAAGAATTCTATATCCATAGAATTCTCTTAATGTGTATTAAGTGTGACATTTTTTTTAAACTTTATTTTATTCTGCTTTCAGGTGGAGATACTTCATAAAACAGTAGGACGTGTGGAATTCATCTCAAAAGACATCCAAGAAAAACAGCTATTACATGACACATCCATTAAGAAAAGTGAAAAAGAATTGGATCAGGTTGGAGTGATTCTTAAAAAACTGCAGAAAGATTTGTCTAATGTTATCCAAGATGTCACGGCTCAAGGGGACCGAGATTTAATTCAGTTTGAAAAAACAATGAGTGAAAAATTTACTGAGCTGAACAACTCAATTAATGAGGATATTATTGAAATTACCAAGGTACAGAAATCATGCCAAGATGAAATTAATAATGTGAAAGCTAAACTAACTTCTCTAGGAGAATTTGATTCAATTAAGGATGAATTGAGGTTACTAAAAGATGTTACATCTCAGTTGCAAACATCGTATACTGCTAAAGAGGCCTCCATTGAATGGCTGATGAACAATGCATTAAATGTAGAGTCTATTACAGCTAACACCAATGAAATTGCACTGATTAGACTTGAGCATGATGACTTTAAAAAAGATCTGGAAGCCCAAGTAACCAAAATTGAAGACATTAAAGAAAAGATCTTGAAAATCGAAGATTCTGATGTGAAGTCTGCGCTAGAGAAACTTGACAATGAATTTGACCAAATATCCTCTTCTGTTGCAGAGATGGAAAACAATTATGTCTCTGCAAACAATGATCTACTTAAAGAGATTAAAATAAATAGAGATGATTTTGAGTTACGACTAGGTCCTCTAGAAAGTCTTATGGAAACTGTGAAGGGATCTCAGCAGTTGGAAACAATAGAATCATTTAAAACCAGCTTTGATGAATATAACAGAAGACTGAATGCTGTTGAAGAAGCATATTCTGGTCTCAAAATATCAGCTAGTTCTGGAGATGCAGAAACATCTGAAACCTTATCAAGTATCCAAGATAGTCAGCAAAATTTATCCAAGGATGTTGATGATTTGAAGTCTATTGTAGCTCAAATTCCAGTTAAGTCATCTGAGTTTGAGAGACTCCAAGTGGAGGTCACTAATATGCTTGAGGGACACAGGAGTCAAATAGAAGATTTGAAGGACAATTATGACCAATGGAAAAGCAGTATAGATGAACTTAGGAGTAAAGTTAGCACATCTGATAATTCTGAACAAGTCTCCAGTGATGCACTAAGTTCCTCCGTGAACAAGCTGGAAACGGACTTGAAGATGTTAAGGACAGCTGTGGACAGTTTGGTAGCATATTCTGTCAAAATTGAAACCAATGAAAAAGAATTGGGATCCATGAAAGAGTCTCTTGAAGACCTAAAGCAAAGTACTGACCGGTTGTTAGTTAAATTAGAACAGATACAAGAGGCGGTATAAGTGCTTATTTTGTAGAGGAAAAGAATGTAGTATTTTTTTCAAACTTTTTTTGCATTTGTTTTGGGTTTCAATAAACATTTTTCTTGTTTTCTGTATAAGATTTTCTTCATAATTTGTTTAAAAAAAAAAAAAATGCATTTGTTTTCTTGTTAGTTCAGTCTCCTCTTACAGTACTAAGCTCTATGGGTATGATACTCTAGAGCAATATAGGAGCATGCCAGTTTTGACCAATAAATACGATTAAGATACCATGCAAAGGTTTAGGTGAAACACAGGGAATCCTATGCAAAATATTACTTTAAAGAAAATAGAATGTGTAGTAAAATATCTGTATCTGAATTTGAGTCCTGATTATCACCTGGTATGGAGAAAGGAAGGATTTGGTGCACGATTTTTGGGTTCACAATCTTCCAGCAAAGATTGTTCTTTGTCACAATGAGAACATTAGAAATATGTAATATTGTAGCTAAAGAAAGAGGATGTTTTGTTAGTCATTCATCCTATACAGTTCTGACTAGCAATATAAACACAGTTTATTGACGCAAACAGAAAATAAATGATAGTCTTATAGTATTCTTTGTAATTGTGTAATAACCTGACCTCTGCCACTGCCCCTTCCATAATGTATAGTATCTTGAAGACATGACGAGAATTGAGCTGGAAGTTTTCAAGAGGATGTAAAATTCCAACTTAACTATGCATTCTGAATAACCATGCGCTGTCAATGATTTTATTTCATTTAATTTTTTCGGGGTTGGACTGGATGTTAGAAGGCTGCTATGTCCAAACTAGATAACTTTGGTCATAGCTGCTCTAGAACAGGACCTACTCAAGAAAAACAATAAGGGCAGTATGCTCTGCATACCCTAATAGAGCTTGACATTGGCAGAAACCTGCCAGTCACTTTAATCTAAGCGGGTGACCAATGACACAAAATATGGACTTAACTATAATCCCTTATGGTGGAACCTGTATTTGTTGCGTACTTAAGCTAATTTAAAGCCAAAGTGGATGCATTGGTCTTAAAGAACAACTGTCACCTCAAAACATTTTTAATATAATAATCATTTCATCAAGTTTAGAAGAAAAATGTTTTTGTAATTAAATTGTGTTACAAAATGAGAACTACACTCATATGCTTCATTTAAAAAAAAATATATATTTCCTTTTAACTGATGAAATTTTTTTTTCAGATGACTGTTGTCCTTTAAATTTGAAATGTACATTGATGTTCTGACAATTCTCAGTTTAGTAAATAACCCTGCAAGTAAAAAAATATCTACTATAATTGCAAATGCACAAAGCTGAAGGACAAAACCTTTTGCATAATTTCCTGAGCTAAAACCAGTTTTTCTTTCTTTAAGAGATGTGCCAAAGGGGATATTCTGTTTTGGGCAAAGAAAAAAAACGTCTTGCGTGAAAGAAAAGCAAAAGTGGATACTTTTACTGCAGCCTTACACATAGCCTTGACAATAATTTATTCTGTTTACGTAAAAAAAACTATCTTTGATTTAGCTAGGTGTATTTATGTGAGATGCATTAATTTTCCTGACATTAGAAGCATAAAAGCATCCATGAATTGTAATATTTTCTGCAATAAATCAGCCACTGGCAAAGTACTGAAAACAAAACCGTACGCAGAAAAGAAGCAAGTGATGTCTTGTTATGCTTGCTTAGAGCCATATTGCTTTAGTTAATGTATGGCCCAAACATCAAGTGGTTATAATCTTGCTTTGAGGTTGATGTTGCTGGTTCAGTTTTAAGAATGAGAAGCAGCGCTATCAACATAATGGGTGGGTCATCTCAGACTCCATGATTTAGAAAACTGTAAATTTTGTGGAACCTGCAAATGTCACACTGAATACTCTGTGGATTTTCAAATATATGAAAACTATAGAGAAGAAATGGGAAAGTTTGTAATGTAGATAAATTACATACAAGATTCATCTCTCACATTAGATGGAACCACCTCTACCATATGTTGTCCATGGGGCCTGAGGATCCAAAGGATGAGTAGGTATGATGGACAATCATAGATCGTTTATCCATACACCTAAAACATGATCAAAGTTTCATTTAACAAACTAGAAATGGAAGGTTGTCTTTCTAACAGTGGATTGCAACAGACTTATGAGAGGCTACCAACATTTTCTAGAGTTAAATGCGATTTAACCTACTGGTGTATGGAGTGTAAAACACGTTATCCTGGTGTAGGTATGTAGTGCAGCATGATGGCAGGGTAGCAAGAAGCACTGTGCATGTTGATTGCTGGCATAAACAGTATTAATATGTTAGCTAGTCGACATGTTATGTGTGACATGTAATTCATTGCCACTGGGTATTTAGATTTGGCGGGGATAATGCAAACAATAGTACAAGAAACAACACATAGAATAATAATTAGGCAGCGAAATCATGCACCTCAGAGTCAATCAAGAGAGGGCTAGTGGTGGAGAAAAAAAAAAATCAGAGTGAAAACAATATGAAAATGAAAAAGGCCCAGACTCTGCACGCCCAGGTGATGCCAGGCTGAGTCATCCTATGCCTCTTGGCGGCTTTGAGCAGGAGTCCAGCCGCTCTGCTTCCCCTGCATGAGGACGCCGCCAGACCCAGGTGTACCTGCTCTCCTGTGCCCCCTTGATCGAATGAGTGCAAAGTCCTCCTGCCTACCTAGGGTTGCGCTGCAATCTGTAGTGTCGAGTGGGTGTCGCATGTCCTAGTCGGTTGCTTGGATAATGTTGGCCCCTTCCCGAGCTCCACACCGGTAAGCAACTGCGTGGTCTAGCAGGGTGTTGGGGGCGTTGTATCACCAGTGGGCCTCCCATATACCCCTCCGTCGCACGTGTCGCTGCAGGGCGCCTGGTGAGGGCCACACGATGCTGGGGGTCTCGCGTTGTTCCATGCCCCATTCGCTCCATGTTGGTCTTATGCGGGTTGTGCTTTGCAGGGTGAGCAGGCTTTCGTCAGTGTTGCTGTGTTCGGGGCCCTCTGTCCCCCGTCACTGCTTTGGTTTTCTTTGAGGGTCTGGCCCTAGTTTTTCCTCGCTGCTGGTGAGGACGGAGTGATGCAGTCCCGACGTCTCTCCGCCCCTTGCTGTGGATTTGGGCAGGCGAGTTAGGGATGGTGGGCCTGTTGTCTATACGGGTCCAAAAGTCTTTGCATAGTTGGTCGAACCGGGCCCTGAAGCACTTCTCCCAGTCCATGCTCTCCATGTTTGCCTGTTGTGGGGAAGGCCTCTGCATGGCGGCCATTTTGATCCGCCACGCGGTCCAAGATTCTGCTGCTTTTGTACTGCTCAGGTTCGCAGCGTGCCCAGTGGGGACCGGGATCACTCCCACCGGTCCAAGGGGGGAGGGGGCAGTAACGGGGTTTCTGTAGCGGTGCCTCGAACCGCGTGGTCTCAAGCGGAGTATCGGCCGCGTCCCTCAGCCGTCGGGCCCGCGGTCCAGGTAGGCCGCAAAACAAGCCGGTAGCTTCTGGCTTTTCAGAACAGATCGTGTGGGATCCCTTTTGTCCCTGTCATTAGAGGTGCCTGTTGTGTCACTTGCTGAGCTGTCCGCCACTTTTTCCGTGCAATTTTGATAGTTTTCGTGGTTGTGCTGGCAGGAGCTCACAGAAACATGTCTGGCCAGCTTGCGAGTCAGGCCCCGCCCCACCCCACAATTTTACTTTTTAAATAGCAAATTCTTATGTATTTTTTTTTTTTAATACATCCTATTTATAGTTTTAAAAGAAATATTAATTCACATAATTTACTAATTATTTCCCCCTCCATTTTCCTTTATGAAGAATGAATTCATGATGACACTTTGTAGTGGTATGGTGTTCACATTTTATTATCAAATATGCAACTTCAGACAAAATATGTAGCATCCTTTGGTAGCAATTTTTAACTACAATATGCATTTGTTGAGCTATATGGCAAACTTTGTGTTTATTTTCGTATATCTGATTGCCCATGTGTCTGTTTGAATTTTGGGACTGTATGCATTGCATTGAAGTTTCCTGCACGGCTGTACTGTTGATTGACGGATTCCTTTGCTCGAAAATGCGGAAGTGGAACGCAGACTTGCGTTCCACAGAGAGAGTAAGTAGATACCAGACCATGTGATCGACAGACAGACGGAACGTGCGTTCCATTGAGAACACTTCTGGATACATAGATGCCAGCAATTTGGAAATTAGAATGGTATAAAAAACAGAACTGCTTTCCACAAAGTATTCACCAACTGAGGAAGCCAGCTGATGGAGAAACGTGTTTTGGACTAAAGACTACATTAATTCTTAAGTATTTTTGATAACTAGATCATATTTTATTTGATTTGTATGAATAAATTTGTTTTATTTTTCAACATCATCAAAGTTTTCCTGTCTATCCCTGCTGACTAACATTTGGGGTCAAAAGACACAGAAGAGGGCTGTGGATCTTCCTTAAGGATCCAAGAGCGCTATACACGAGAGCCAGGTGACCTATTGGCTCTATCCTTGTTAGTAGGAAATTTTTTCATCCACATTCATTATTGTTCATTCCATCTGCACTATGATTGTGTTATATATTGTTCACAGATTTATGTAAAGTGTTGCATCAAGTGCACCCATCATCAATATCATTACTCAGGTATTAGTGCTCCACTTATATTATATTTGTGTGTTAGTTTTTTTTTCTCCCAGCATTAAGCCTTGGCTCATGTGTGGGGGGTTATGGGACATCGGTGATATTTTACCCTTGGGATTATTTGTGTTCGGTTATTGGGAAAAAAGCATCCGTGGCGTTGATACTCTGGCAGACCACCACAAATACCAACATAATAGCATCAATCTTGGTCTTAGTGGCACGTTGAACCAGTTTTATTGGTTTAAGGCTAAAGAAGAGTCCTAGAAGCCCATCCTCTCTATCCAGCCACAGCTAACGAGGAAGTATTAGAATTTAGCAGCAATGGGTGGCTGTGGTGGGCTAAGAGTGTCAGTCGACCACTTCCAACCTATCAGAACTGACCATTGCTAATATGAGTGGGTTTAGCGAAGGAAAAGTGTCATCTTTACATTACAAATACCTGGGCGCTTAGCTGTGTGTGGCCATGGACACTCATTCAGCAATAAACTGTTCGAGAATGACTTAACACTGAATGGAGGGACAGTGCCGGGTACTTCAATTAGATAAATTGTTATAGTGCCTCCTAATATGGTAACAGTAGTTTTGCTTGTGTGTTTTCATATATGGAGAATAGTTCAGAATTGAAAATGTTTCTGCAGATTTTTTAATTAAAGGACCACTATAGTGCCAGGAAAACATACTCGTTTTCCTGGCACTATAGTGCCCTGAGGGTGCCCCCACCCTCAGGGACCCCCTCCCGCCCGTCTCTGGAAAGGGGTTAAAACTTACCTTTTTCCAGCGCTGGGCGGGGAGCTCTCTGCCTCCTCTCCTCCTCCTGGGCTGAATGCGCACGCGCGGCAAGAGCTGCGCGCGCATTCAGCCCGTCACATACAATGCTTTCCTATGGACGCTTGCGTGCTCTCACTGTGAAAATCACAGTGAGAAGCACGCAAGCGCCTCTAGTGGCTGTCAATGAGACAGCCACTAGAGGATTAGGGGGAAGGCTTAACCCATTAATAAACATAGCAGTTTCTCTGAAACTGCTACGTTTATAAAAAAAAATGGGTTAACCCTAGAAGGACCTGGCACCCAGACCACTTCATTAAGCTGAAGTGGTCTGGGTGCCTAGAGTGGTCCTTTAAAGGTTAAATTGGATTTCAACTCTAGTTTGTAGATACAAGTGGCAAACATTTTCAAGAGTTTGAAAGAAAAAACTGTAATGATGGTATTCTTTCTTTAGGTAATTGAATATCAGTGTTAAACGGGGTGGCCAAATACACATTTATCTGTGTAAAGATGTTCATATATATTGTTACCACATGGGAGTTTGGCTCAAGAAGTATTTAATATATTTCTTGGCACCAGTAGTTTCTCTGTAAATAGTTCATTATTGTAAAGTTATGATATTAAAACTTGTTTCTGTTGAATTTGGCATGGCCAAATACCTTTCCGTATTGTTTGGTACACCATGTAATGGCTTCTTACCCACTTGTATGTTTATGACACGTGTACACAGAGTTTAAGAATGAGCTAGCTGACAAAAACAGACCATATTTTTTAACCCCTTAAAGGACCACTATAGGCACCCAGACCACTTCCGCCTAATGAGGTGGTCTGGATGCCTGGTCCAGCTAGGTTTAACCCTTTTTTCTATAAACATAGCAGTTTCAGAGAAACTGCTATGTTTATAAATGGGTTAATCCAGCCTCTAGTGGCTGTCTCCCTGATTTTCACAGTGAGAAGACACCAGCGTCCATAGGAAAGCATTGTGAATGCTTTCCTTTGGATTGGCTGAATGCGCGCGCGGCTCCTGCCGCCCATGCGCATTCAGCGCTGGAGAAAGAGGTAAGTTTAACCCCTTCCTCCCCCCAGAGCCCGGTGGGAGGGGGACCCTATAGTGCCAGGAAAACGAGTATGTTTTCCTGGCACTATAGTGGTCCTTTAAGGACAGAATCAATAGTACACGTTCTGAATCAAAACAGAATCTGGAATTTGCGCTATATGCCTGTTCAACCGTAAGTCACCTCTTTTTTTTTTTTTTAATTCTTTATTTTTCACGTGCACAGATTTACAACAGGCACGCAGAGCCACGACAGCTTCTGCATGCTTTTTATACCGTTTTGCAGTGTAGACAGCACATTTTTTTTATATATATAACATGAGGAATACTGGCAGAGAAACATAAAGGTAGTATGGTTTAGCATGTTAGACTGAACATTCAAATAAAATTTCTTAGGTTAGGTCCCTGAATGTCTGGTTAAGGTACACGCTTCAAAAGTCAACGATTATGGGGCGGGGCCTGATAGCCGAACAGGCCAGACGTGCCTACCGAGTGCTCTGGCAAAACCGAGCTTAATCAAGGCTTTTAAAGGCCCAAACGTGACTCCTGCAGCTCCACACAAATGTGGCTAACAGAGGAATTGAGTGGGAGCCTGTGGAAACTTGAACCAAGTCTCTCTGTAGAGATTTACCACACTCCGCATTTGAGGCCTAGCATGGAAGGCGGCCTCGTGGCTGGGAGAGGCGGCCGATTTCCCAGCACGGGGACCGCATCGAGCAGTGACAAGCATGAGACCCCGCAACCCCCCCCTCTGGACCGGTGGGGGTCATCCCGGTCCCCGCTGGGCAAGGTTGCTCTCCTGCAACAGACAAATCTTCTGCCAGAATTAAGAGCGCGAAACGAGGTTAAAATGGCCGCCGAGCCACAACTACCACAGCCTAAAGAGGGCCTGACAATCCAAGCGTGGAGAGAACGCTTCGAGGCGCGGTTCGACCAGATCTGCGAGGAGTTCTGGCAGGGCCTAGAACACAGACCTCTCCTGCACGCCTTACCTGCTAAACAGGAGAAAGCGGCCGAATTAGAGGGCCACAGACCCGACTCTGGAACGGGCGCACACGGAAAAGCACGTCCCTCATGGCCCCAGAGAGGCTGGAAGTATGCCCAGCTAACGAACCGCACAGGGACCCGGGCCCAAATCAAGCGGAAAACAAAGACCCTTCGGGGCGGGAGACAGGCTCCCCTTCACTCCCGTGAGCGAAGTGATAACTCCGACTGGCGGTTTTGCGGCTCCGGTAGATCATGGGCTAAGAAAACAACCAGAACCAAGCCTGAACACAAATGGGCCATATGGAGCCTCATGGAGGGACAGCAACCACAAGTTTATCATGGACACAGCAAGTATTTACTAATGATACCCGAAACAGGCATAGGCTGACAGTCCCCCTACATGCAATTCATAGCCCTCAGTCGGTTTGCATTATTTCCTCTTATTTGCTTTAATTTGTATTCACTCTGGCGACATCAACATACCTGTCTCTTATCTTACCACCCAGTGGACTCTTGTCTCATGTAACACCAACCATAGTACCCAGCGGCTACCCTGCTGACAAATTAACTACAGTTTAGCGTGTTCCCTTATCTTGATATATTATACTCGACTACGTTATTGTCAATCCATATAGTATATCTCAAACAATTCTACTGTTTTCTTGTTAAGCAACACTATATGCATCACTATGTTTATCTTTAAAATGTGCAGTACTACTACATGCCACAGTTTAACGCCTCTTGAAATGTCTGTATTTACTGTTGTGGCATGGCAAGCCTGTCTGTCAAACTTTTGCACAACAAAAATAAAGAATAAAAAAAAAAAAAAAAAAGTCAACGATTATGACATGACCTAGCATGTTTATGGTCAGCAAGTAAAGTAAATAAAACTTTTCTAGCAAGCAAGAGTGTTATCTATACTGTAGCTGGTTTACATAATTTAAGCATTAGGATGAACAGGAAAGATAAACTAGTAACTTGGCTCATGATGATGCTATGAATAATCTTACATTGGTTAGCAAAGGTATTAGGCTGTAGTTAACATTGAGTCTGCTATATGACCACTTTGTACTAATTGCACCATGAAAGCTCTAAAGGAGCAGTGAGTTTAATGTCTCTGTAAGAGAGCTGGTGTGTATTACGTGCTGTCCGTTTATCCGATACCACGTATGGGCCATCGGAGCATGGTAGGCTGCATGGTCGGTGAGGTAGTGCTATTCATCCCCAGGAAGGGCTGTGTGTTGAACCAGGCTCCTTGCATGTGGCTCGTGGTGGGTGAGCTGGGGGTTCCCATTCTCCCAGGCCCAGGTCTCCCGTGGGTTCCTTGCCGCTTGTCTGGTAGCTTTCCGTTTTGGTTTGGCTGGGTCACAGGTCTGTGGACGCTTGATGCGTCGGGGGATTCCCCGAGTGCTTGGACGGCTTGTTGGCTGTGCCGCCCGGCGAGCTCCATGCCCAGTGCCGGTTGCAGGTTCGCGGTCCGGTGCATCTTTTCTCTGGGTCAGCTGCCCGTGTGGGTGTTGGCTTTCGATGTGGTGCCAGAATGCTCGGCATATGCGTTCAAACCGGGCTTCAAAGTCTTCCCGCCAGGACTGAATGTCCGCTCCCTCTGTGGTTTGTCGAAGCTGCGGTTCGGCGGCCATCTTGTGCTCGCCATGCGGTCCTTGGGTGTGGGAGATGTCGTGTTTGCCGGGGGTTGACTTTCCCCAGTGGGGACCGGGATAACCCCCTCAGGTCCAGGGGGGGGTGACGGGGCTCCGGAGTCTCCAGGTGTTGCTGAGCGTCTCGGGCCAGGGGATCGGCCGCCTCCCCCGGTCCTCATGTCGCCATCAGTGTTAGGCCTCGAGGCTGGACGGCTGGATACTGTGTTGGGGCAACTGGCTGCATGAGTGCTTACAGTTCCGTGCTACTTGGTGGCAGAATCTTGCCCTTGCCAGGTCATTTTCTGTGTGTTAGAAGGTCAGATTAGCTGATTTTCAGCCCTGTTTTACAGGAGCTGAGCTGAAACACATCCTGCTATCTTGGCTGCCAGGCCCCGCCCCCCAATTCACCTCTTTTATACTAAGTGCACTCA